CCTGGCTGCCATTCCACTTGATGCCAACGCCTTCATACATCTAATGTGCCCTGGGCTGGATAACATGTTCATAAAACGCCTGCGGTGGGATCACAGTAGCTGTTTGGTTGAAGGGGGGAGAGGGGTTCCCGTTCACAAGTCGCTCTTGTCCTTGCTGGATACCTTTTGATCTAGATGAGCAGGAAAAGCAGCTGCCAGTGTTGTCTCAAAGTCCTCCGAATTATGTGTTTTATCTTTTACAGATGTATCATTGTGAGATCTTTAAGTGTCAAATGTTTCACCTATTATGTAACTTTCACAGACAGGGTGACACAAGCACTTAAAGGTCACCTATTATGCAAAATCCACTTGTTCATGTATTTTGTAAATAACCATGTGTCCCCTCTGTGGAAAGAGATTCTGAAAGTTTCAGGAACAAAGATTCTCTCTCTTTTTGTCCTGGATCCATTTCTATAAAAACCTTTCTGAAAATGAGCTGATCAGATTTTGGCCACTTTGTGATGTCATAACGATGTTTTGTCTTGCGTAACCATTAGCCAATCACCAACAAGGTAACCCCCACCTTATCACCTGAATCTCCTCCTAGAGCACCATTGAGTTCTTTGTAACCAAATCTCTCTCAGAGGGGCGTGGGGAGGGGCTCCTTATTTTCATCTCAAGTAACAGACAGAGAATCAGCACTTTTGAAACAGGGCTGAAACAGAGGGGATTATGGGTAATGCTGCAATGATCTGTTTGGTATTTGGAGCCAAATACTTCAGAGACATGTTTTGTATATATCTGAGACCTATAATATATTGATGAAAAACAGTATATTAGGGGACCTTTAATGTGTCTGTTCTTCTGTCAGTCACAGAGATCGTTGGAGTGGACTACAGACGGACGGTGGGGATATTGTACCAGATGTTCCTCAGTGTGGGGAACATCATCCTCCCTCTGCTCGCTTTCTACATCACAGACTGGCGCTGGTTGCAGGTCGCCATCACCGCCCCTTACATCCTCTTCATCTCCTTCTACTGGTGAGGAAGACTACCACATCCCAATCTCCACCATAAAGACTATAATCTTAAACTTTCAGAGGGTTAAATGATGCCACGTGTGTGCACAGCTGGAGTGCTGAGGTCTTGAAAATGTAGTAAAAGGTAGAAATATAGATTAATATGCTTCAAAACATTGCTTTAAAGCCTGTCAAGCAGCAGGAATAAGTCCTAAAACCCAGAAAGGAGTCAGCATTTTAGCACTTCTGCCTCCCTAATCTCGAAGTTTATCGATTTGACTAGGTTTTGGTTATTTGACTGAAATAAGGTACGTGATTAACACAAGATTATATTATATTCTATATATATACAGGGCTTTCAAGTTTTGAACAGAGTTCAGAGTGAGATTTTGGCAGCGGTGTTTGGTACTCCCCTCAAAGTTCCCATGAAGCCCTCTGTACCGCGAATGTCAACGGGGGGGCAGGGGAGGGGAGCGGGGGTTGGCTAGTGGAGTATAAGAGCCCTCTGTATCGCGATGTCCAACGGGGGGGGGGGGTGCCAGTGGAGTATGAAGCCCCTCCGTATCGCGAATGTCAACGGGGGGGGGGGGGGGGGGGCGGTTGCCTAGTGGAGTGCACCGCGTCTCAAACAAGCCTAGTTTGTTTACAAAATGCTGCGGCCCGACTTCGTGGGCGCGTACCCTGGAAAGAAATCTCTGCTGCGTGAGAAAATACAAGGTGTGCGTCGTGTGAGGTGTGTGGATGGAGTTGTGAAAGGCCGTGTCTCTGAGAGCTCTGGTATTAATACATATTATATAATGTTAAGATTATATTTTCTTCTACCAACATCAATGTCCCGTAATCAGCCTGGTAAACTTTCAAAGCCTTTTAATGACTGTTGTCAGAAACATACCCAGTTGCTAACAAGTTGCTAGATTGACCATCTTGGTACTCAACAGGCTTAACATTAGCCCCTTTGCTTAGCTTAGGCCTTTAGTAGTGGTGGAAGTGAAGTTCATGGGCAACTGCAGTGTTTATGGCCTCTAGGAGGGCTTTCCACTTCAGGTGATTGCAGTTTATGATAATACATCGCAAAAAAGTAGGTGTTTTAGTCATGCTGGATTTTACCCCTGCCTCGGAACCAAACCTTTTTTTTGGAGCCTTACTTCCTGGTTGCTACCCCTCGCAGATCACGATTAAAATATATGAATTGTTCTCAGTGCGAGATTTGTTTACCTGTAAATACATTTCTGTCAGCAGGTTATCGCGCAGAGTCTCCGTAGGTGCGGCTCATCTCCTCAGAACAACTCATGGTCCAAAGCTATGGAGATCACTGAAGCTACCCATAGCTAAAGAGAACAACAGGAAACCCTCCTCCCACCCACTTTGAGGTAAATCAGTTCTTACTCTCAGATCTCCTGAAGTGCAAAAACAAAACTCCATTAATGTCACAACTGAATGTCTTGGTTTATAGACAACGACAGAAGAAGAAGGTGACTCCCCTCCCTCCCGGCCTCTCTGATGGAGCCTGACTCCAGGAGACTCCAAACATGAGGCAAAACAGCTGTTGATTC